ATCCCAGCCTATAAATCGTGTAAATGATTTAAATAGACATTTCACAAGAATGAAGTACTAATACATGCAACAGCATCAACAGACCTCAAAACCATTATACCAAGTAACAAATGAAAGACAAAAGGCTATATATTGTACTTATATGAACTATCCAGAAGAAACTAAGATAGAAAGTAAATTGGTAATTGCTAGAAAGTGGAATTGGAAACAGAAAGTAATTACAAATGGTATGAGGTTTATTTTATTATTTTAGTTGTTGATAGACCTTTATTTTATATATGTGTTGTGCTGAGAATTGAACCCAGAGCCTCACACATGGCAGGCAAGTGTCTGAGCCCCAGCCCCAATGAAATGTTTTAAAGTCAGATCATGATAATGATTGCTTGACTCTGAAAATTTACTAAAAATCATTAATAGAGCATTTAAGTGGGTATTATATAAGTCATATCTCCAATAAAGCTTATTGTTGTTGTTGTTTTTTGGGGGCACCAGGGATTGAACTCAGGGGCACTCAACCACTAAGCCACATCCCTGGCCCTATTTTGTATTTTATTTAGAGACGGGATCTCACTGAGTTGCTTAGTGCCTCGCTTTTTGATGAGGCTGGCTTTGAACTCACAGTCCTCCTGCTTCAGCCTCCAAAGCTGCTGGGATTCAGGCGTGTGCTACCATGCCTGGCAAAGCTGTATTTTAAAAGACTTTTTTTAGAAATAAACCCATATACCAGGAAGATACAAAAAGGAACCTGCAGGGAGACTTATCAAGTGTACGATGTCTTTTGGAAATTTTGGCCATGTCTAGGTATGAAAAATATGCTTAGAAAATCAAATGGAGGAATAATAGAATTGGTTTACATTTTGGGAGCTAAAGGAAAGTATGAAAAGCAATTCATTTAAAATACAAGCATGAAGCAGGGTGAGATGGCACATGCATGTAATCCCAAACACTTGGAAAGCTAAATCAGAAAGATCAAAATTTCAAGGCCAGCCTTAGTAATTTAGCCTAAGCAACTTAGACTCTGTCTCAAAAAATAAAAGAGTTGGGAATATGGCTCAGCGGTAGAGCACAAGGCTCTTTGTTCAGTCCCCAGTATTGAAAAACACACACACACACACACCTACAGGCATGGTAATGGATGAGTGCATAACTTTCTATTCATTTTGCTACCTATTGATGTCTCTTTGACTATTTTATTGTGTGTCATGTTTTATAAATTGATTTTATCCCTGACAGGATATACTGATTTTTTTCCATATTCAAACCAGTTCTGCAATTTAGCATTTAATAACTATGATCCATTATGTGGATTTATTATAATGTATTGAACTAGCCAGCCATTCTTAGTCCTGTGAAGCTGAATTACTCCCAATTTCTGTATTGGGAATTTGTTTTTTTTTTTTTTTTTTTTCTTTCAAAGTAGGAGCACTTAGGAATGTGGCATTAACTTCTACCAAGTAAAATACAGGCAACTATACCCGCCCAATTTTGATATTAGAAGTAGCTAATTTTTAAACCACTTAACTGGATTTTACTGATAAGAGAATATTTCCCATACCATAATTCACAGTCTGCCCTCTGGGACACAGTATTTTCTTCACTGTGGTTCTGTAAAGTGCTCAGCCAGATTTCTAAAGGATTGATTTGATATTTGGAAATATGAAAATGGACAAAAAGAACAAAGAGTCGATATATGCTACAACTTAGAAGAACCTCATAAACATGTGAAGGCCAGACACAAAAGGACATTGAATATTATTGTATAATCTCTCTCTTTTTTTTCCCACTCAGCCTCCTGAGTAGCTGAGTTTACAGGTGTGTGCTACCACACCTGGCTGTATAATCCATTTTATAAAACATATACGGTAGACAAATTTATAGATACAAAAAGTAGATTACCAGAAAATGGGGGAGGGAGAAATGAATAGTAATTATTTCATGGATAGTATTTATTTTTAGGGGGCAATGATAAAGTTTTGAAACTAGAGAGAGGTTGTAATTATACAATGTTGTGAACACACCGCTTAATTCTACAGTTTAAAATAATTTATTCTAAGTTACATGAATTTCACATCAGTTAAAAAGGGCAATGATATTGTAATAAGAATAGATAGGTAGATCATTGTAGTAGAATTGGGAGTCCAGAAATTAGCCCATACTATTCAATTTGGAAAGAATCATCCTTTCAACAAGTAGTGCTGGGAAAACTGGATAGTTAACATGCAAAACAATAAAGTTGGTCCCCTGCCTTACACCCTATGTAAAAGTTAGGTGGATGTGGTAGTGCTTGGCTATAATCCTAGCTACTCAGGAGACTGGGACAGGAGGATTACGAATTCAAGGCCAATCTCAGTAACTTAGCAAGACCATGTCTCAAATAAAAAGTGTTAGGGGTGTGGCTTAGTGGTTGACTGTCACACAGTGCCATTAAAAAAAAAAAAAAAAAAAAAACTAAATGTAAGAACTAAAATTATAAAACCTTTAAAAGAAAATAAAAGGATAAGTCTTTGTTTGGCAAGGAATTCTTAAATATTGTATCAATAGCTCAGGCAACAACAACAAAAACAGGCAATTTTTTTTTTTTATTTTTTAGTTTTAGATGGACACAATATTTTTATTTATTTATTTTTATGTGGTGCTGAGGATCAAACCCAGTGCCTCATGCATGCTAGGTGTGCACTCTACCACTGAGCCACATCCCTACCCCCCAAAAAATAGGCAAATTGGACTTCATCAGAATTAAACATTTTGAGTAACTCAAAACGCCCAAGATATCTTTTGAAATTTTTAAACATATTTTTAATTATAAATGAACATAATACCTTTATTTTATTTTTTGAGAGAAATTTTTTAATATTTATTCCTTAGTTTTTGATGGACACAACATCTTTATTTTATTTTTATATGGTGCTAAGGATCGAACCCACTGCCCCGTGCATGCCAGGCGAGCGCGCTACCGCTTGAGCCACATCCCCAGCCCTATTTGTTTGTTTTTATGCAGTGCTGAGGATCGAACCCAGTGTCTCACACATGCTAGGGAAGCACTCTACCACTGAGCCACAGCCCCAAGCCCAAAATATTTGTTATCTCATCCTTTGCAGGAAAAGTTTGCTTACCCCCAATCTATATCATTTTTATGACTTGTTGTTTTCTGGTATGTGTATACAGTAGAATTTATTTAACCTATTCTTTATTGAAGGCTATTTATTATTTCCCAGTCTTTTCCTTTTTAAAATTAGTTTATTTGCCCCTGTTTGCATATATCTTTTTGCCCACATATAAATTATTTTCTTTAGGGTCCTAAAAATAGGATTGTTAAACACCTGGCTTGTATTGGTTTTTGTAGTTTTGTTTTGGAACCAGGGATTAAACCCAGGAATGCTTAACCACTGAGCCACATACCCAGCCTTTTTGTGGGTGTGGGTGTGGGTGTGGTGCTGGGGATTGAACCCAGGGCCTTGTGCATGCAAGGCAAGCACTCCACCAACTGAGTTATATCCCCAGTACCACCTAACCCTTTTTTTATATTAGAAACAGGGTCTCACTGAGTTGCTCAGAGCCTCACTAAGTTGCTGAGGCTGGGTTTGAACTTGTGATCCTCTTGCCTTAGCCTCCTAAATCACTGGGATTATAGGCGTGTGCCACCATGCTCAGCTTGTAGAGAAATTCTTGTAACTGAAAAAAATAAATTACTACTAGTTCCTGAATATTTATTTTATTTTACCAATACCTGAGATCCTCCTCTGTTTGTTTTTATATCACATCAACATGAATTAGAAAATTTACCCTCTTGTAAGTGATACCATTGTATGACATTGTGTGTCTATTTTGTTCCAACCTTGCTAACATGTAATCAGTCTTTTAAATCCATCTGTGAACTGAACATAAAATGTTACTTGTCCCTTCAACATATCTTCTTAATTAGCAACATTTAATACTTCCTGGTAAGTTACTTCTATTATTGTTCATGCTCAGGTTTCCTAAGGTGTCATAAGAAATTCTGCATATCCATAGCAAGAGCAGAATTGAAAACAAACTGGCTTTGTAGTTGGACAATTCTGGAATCAGAACTCATATGTGCCATTAATTAACTGGATTTAGGTTTCTGTTTCTAGTGTTTGAAATGGAGATAACAGTGTTTTAGGGCTATTCTGAGATATATGGCATGTATCAATCATATAAAAGTTGACTTTCTTTTTTAACCGATGTAGGGATGATAAATTCACTTTTCACAAAGTTTGGGTATGAAGAAAGAGTAAGAAGGATGTCAAGCAGAAAAATCCTGTGGATGATTCTGACTGGGGGAAATGGGGAGCTGCAAGCCCTGAGAATTCTGGTAGTTCTAGTTCAGGTGAGGGTAGGAATCCCAGTAGGCAGGTACAGTTTTGCAGTGATAAAGGCTGTCATGCATTGTCCATGCTGGAGGTCAGCAAATGTCACATCAATAAAGGAACAAATACTAAGTATTTTAGGCTTTATAGGCCATATAACTCTGTTAAATGGCTATTGGAATTTTCTGAAAGTAGCCATAGACAAGAGTAAACGGATGGTCCAGATTTAGTTCATGGGCCATAGTTTGCAGACTCCCAGTCTGTTCTGCCTTTTGTCTTCAAATCCAGGGAGGCCAGGAAAGGCTTAAAGCAAGGAAAACTGCCGTCTGTTTTAGTTTGTGTGGTCACTTTTTAGAATTGAGAATCAGGAAGGAGAATCTAGTCAGGGCAGTTCTGAACATCCCAGCCTTGGGCGGAGATCAGCATCTTCATAGTGGGGATTTCCCAGAACTCCCCTGCTGAAGATACTGATCATGAGTTCTAATACAGGCGAGCCTCTGCTCTTTACAGTAGCCCAGCTTCCTTGACAGGGAGAATACAAGGGAGGAGCATGTGAGGGAAGTATGGGTGCCAGTGTTTACAAGCAAGAATAGAGAAGAAAAGATTATTTGCATCCTTTTGAAACAGCCTCTTGTCATTGGTTCATTTTTTTTTTTTCCTCATCCAATTCAGGTTTCTCAGAACTTTGCTTCTCTAGAAGAACCCTGAGGAAGACTGGCCAGTTCTTGTAAACCTAAAACCATGGCTCACGTAAGTGATTCCCCAACTCCCTTTTAGGGTCATGTGAAAGAATTTTCATTCTTTATACTGAACCTTCTTATTTAACTGAAGTTTTCTTTCATCTCTAATTGTCCCAGTGGCTCTTATATGCCCCTGTTTTCTTTAACAAATGTTCATCTGAACCTGACTAAACCTTGCAGCATCTGCTGTGCATGCATTCTCTGTCTGCAGCACAAATGGGGCAAAAACGAAGTCTCCGGAGGGAAGTATTTTACCTCATCAGAGCTGAAGTGTAATCAAACAAAAGATGAGCTTATCTGATGACACACAGGAAAACTAAAGTTTTCCAGGGAACTGTGTCTGTAGGCAAAATGCAGTTTAGTGTTGATTGGCTTCATTCTCGCTATATGGTTGGGTTCTGTGTATGGAGCAATCGGGACCTTTTCTGGGAATCTCCAAGAGGTGAAAATCCACAATAGGAGCCATTTTGAGGTTGAATGGAATAAGCTGGTCTTGACATCTGTGTGATTTGGCTAATTCTACATCAAGATTCTTTGTTCCAGGAACAAAGAAAGTGTACAGTATTTATAAGAAAATCACCCAGAGGCATAAATATTAGATCTTTGTATTCTCCCATGATTAGAGAAACCTTAAGAGAGATTATCTAACATAAATGTCTTACTTTCTGGATTCTATAATTAAGTTTGGTATATCCATAAGATTGTATTATTATTATTATTATTATTAATTATTATTATCATTATTACTATTATTATCATTTTGCAGAGCTAGAGATGGAATCCAGGGTCTTGTGCAGGCTAGGCAAGTGCTCTAACACTGAGCTACACTCCTAGCCTGCTTCATTATTACTTAGCTGATTAAAATAATTTATATCCCAGCAGCTCAGGAGGCTGAGACAGGAGGATCAAGAGTTCAAAGCCAGCCTCAGCAAAAGTGAGGTGTTTAAGCAATTCAGTGAGATCCTGTCTCCAAATAAAATACAAAATAGGGCTGGGGATGTGGCTCAGTGGTCAAGTGCCCCTGAGTTCAATCCCTGGTAATAGTAGTGATAGTAATAATAATAATAATAATTATTATTATTATTATTATTATATTTATTTTTTGTAGTTGTAGTTTGGACACAATAACTTTATTTATTTTTATGTGGTGTTGAGGATCGAACCCAGGGCCTTGCACATGCAAGGCAAGCTCTTTACCACTGATCCATAATCCCAGCCACTATTATTATTATTATTATTATTTATAAGATGGGCCCAGTGTCTATAATCCCAGCTGCTCAGAAGACATAGGTGATTAATATCACCTGAAGCCACAAAGTTCAGATGAGCCTAGACTCTGTCTCACATGAATAAATGAATAACATTTATAATAGAATTGCCCAAATAAGGAAAAATTAGGACATAATGACATAAAGATTAAGCTGAATATTTTAAAAATTCTTTAATTTTATACAAACCCATTATTCTAGGAGATATTTTATATAGTATTTTTTTTAATCTTTATTTATTTTTATGTGGTGCTGAGGCTCAAGCCCAGGGCCTTGCAAGTGCTAGGCGAGTGCTCTTCTGCTGAGCCCCAGCCCTTATATAGTATTTTTTTTTAAATCTATATGATTTTAAGTAAAGGAAAAGATGAATTTGCTTGTATCCACTGTTTAATTTAATTGGGCAACATTTAATTTGTTCTCAGAAATGTTTGAGTAATCAAAGAATCCCATAATATATAGGAAATTTTGCATGTAGCAACTAGATTCTTCAAGAAAATAAGGCCATTCTACTCAAACACCAGTGTCATTCCTATCTCTTACCTTTGTCATAAGCTTTCAGCCCTAGTCTTTGTTTTGTATAGTCTCCCACTTGCTGCAATGAAATATTTTATCTCCTCTTTTTCCTTAAGTATGCATTCTATAATTTCACCAGTAATGTGTTGGTTTCTCATTTCAGAAACTAGTGAAGTTCAGTGATGTGTCTGTAGTCTTCTCTCAAAGGGAATGGAAGTGCCTGAACCCTACTCAGAGGGAATTGTACAGAGATGTGATGCTAGAGAATTATAGCAACTTGGTCTCACTGGGTAAGGTCATTTACCTCAAATAATTTAAACACTGCTCTCTGAAATAATAGCTTTCCCTTACATGAATTCAGAACATTTGTTTATTTTGTGGTACTGGGGATTAAAACTGAAGGCCTTATCCTGCTAAACACATCATTTACCACTGAGCTATATCTCTAGCCCTTTAGGACTGTTTTTTACGAAAGTAACTGAATTTCTTCCCTGTTACTCAAGGAATTAATTGAACTTCACTGGTATGTAAATAGCATTTCACCACACTGTAGTGATCTTCATGAACCATTTCCTTAATCCATTGCCATAGTTGCATCTTTTTTGATGACTAAGGGACTAGATTTGAATTATGGGATATTTATTCCAAAGTCAATTTCAAAGAAATAACGTTTCACATTGAAGTTGAGCTTAGAATTGCTTATGGGGGCTGGGGATGTGGCTCAAGCGGTAGCGTGCTCACCTGGCATGCGTGCGGCCCGATCCTCAGCACCACATAGAAAGATGTTGTGTCCGCCGAAAACTAAAAAATAAATATTAAAAAAAATTCTCTCTCTCTCTTTAAAAAATAAAATATATAGAATTGCTTATGGTTGTTCTATTTGGCAGAATAACAGTCCTACCCAGTGTCACGACTTATGTCATAATTTAAATTAGTAATGTATTTAAAAATAAAATGAATGCATTCTGTTTCTCACACCAAACACCTCGTGATTGAAAATTAAAATCCATTAACTTAGCTCTTGCTTCAAACTAGAGCTGGGGTTGTGGACTCAAAGGTATATTAAAAAAAAATCTCAGGCTGGGGTTGTGGCTCAATGGTAGAACGCTTGCCTAGCATGTGTGAGGCACTGGGTTTGATTCTCAGCACCGTATATAAATGAACAAAATAAAGGTCCAAATAAAATAACACCAACTTTGTTTAAAAAAACTCAAAAAGAGAGAACTTTGGGGCTGGGATTGTGGCTCAGTGGTAGAGCGCTCACCTAGCACAGGTGGGACCCAGGTTCGATCTTCAGCACCACATAAAAATAAAGGCATTGTGTTGTGTCCATCTACACCTAAAAAAAAAAGAACAACAACAACAACTTCAAACTATCTTAGGAAGTTTCTTTTGCTCCAAATAAATTAGTATCAATAAAATACTAATAGCTAATAGAGTGCTTACCATATACCAAGAATTGTTCTAAATATTAGCCATGAAATAGGTATTACTTTTATTTTCATTCTACAAGTGAGAAAACTAAGGCCCAGAGAATTTAAGTGGTTTGCTTACAATCATTGGTATGTAGATGGAAGAGCAGAATCTGAACCCTTATAGTCTGGCTCCAGAGTCGGTGCTCTCAGTTACTACTGTCTCTCAACAGAGTGAGTCTGCAGGAGTTTTAATTATAAAATGGGACCTTTTCCCTGCATATCAAGTTTCTTTATGCTCTAGGATCGTGCGGTTACCCTAATTTGAGTATTCTTTAATCTTAGTTTTCTCTGAAGTATATATTGATATTATGGATCCATAGTTTACTACAAGTCTAATCAAGTCTTAAAATGTTTTTGAACTTGGCATATCATATCACTTTTATATCTTGTTGTATTTCTTTCTTGTAATCAGGATATTCTGCCTCAAAGCCAGAAGTGATTACCTTATTGGAGCAAGGCAAAGAGCCGTTCATTGTGATTGGAGATGTGCAAGGAAGACGGTGTGCAGGTAAGTGAGGGCTCACCAGGTAAATGCCAACAAAGGCCAGATGGTCAAGGTGGGAAGCACAGGTTTGCATGTTGTTATGGCCTAAGAGAGGGAAGAAAACAGATTTTTCTTAGTGTAAAGTACCAAAAGAACTTTTATGTGCATTCTCAGTTATCACTGTCTGTTTTTTCCCCTTCTCATATTACCCTCTAATTTCAATTAGAGATTGTCAGGAGGGAAGAAGGGAGGGAAAGAGGAAGATCTGGGAACTGAAATAGAGCAAACGCTTACATGAATTTATGAATATGTCAAAATGAACCCAAATATTAAATATAACTATAATGCACTAATTTAAAAAATTCAAAAGAAAATGCTCTCTTTCCCAGTGCAACCAATTGATTTCCATATTTTTTTCCTGCAGTGATTCTTAAGTTTGTCTCCAATTCCTGAAAGTTCATTCATTTACCTATTCAGCATATATTTACTGATTGCCTTCTCTGAGCCAGGCAGTGTGCCAACTATAACATATATTTTGGCAAACAGGCTAAAACCTCCCACATTAATGAAGTTGACAGTGTAGAATGGGAGACACTCAGTAAACTGTAAACCAATGAATAGATAATATAATGTGAAATCATGATGCATGCTATAAAGGAAAAGTATGAAGGGTGAGGAGGTGGAGTTGGGCTCGGTGCTCAGCAAAGCCTTTTGTAAGGAGGGGATATTTGTGCAGAGACAGGAAATACGGGCTTATATCCTGTGAATAACTGGAAAGAAATCATCTCATGTGAAGAGGGCAATGAGATTTTTATGTTTGCAGAACAGCAAAAAGCTCAGAGCATATTTAGAGGGGGGAAGAATACTAAATAAGAGTTAAAGTTGAGCAGGAGCCAAATCTTAGTTGTTTTTTTTTCCCCACAGTGGGAAATTTGGATTTTTCTTTTCAAAGAAAGATTGAAAGCCATAATCTCATATGTTTTTAAATGATCATAATATATACTATGTGGAGAATATACTAAATTGAGGCAAGATTGGAAGTAGAAAGGTCAGTGAACAAACTACTTCAGAGGTCTATACTAGTCATAGCAGTGATAGTAACTTGGATTAGGATGATGGTGAAAGGGTGGTGTATTCATCTTGTGCTTTGGAAGCAGAGCTAATAGACCTGCTATGAGGTATAGGTGAAAGAGATGAATAGAATCCAGCTGATCTAGGCAGACATGAAAGATGGCTTGGGGGATGGAAATAGAGTTCTGTTTTAGGTATCCAGTTTTCCCTTGGTATCCATGGAGGATTGGTTCTGGGGTTTCCAACTGATCTCAAAATCTGTTCAAGTCCCTTAAAGTCATCTCTGGATTCCTTATAATACCTAAGACACTGTAAAATGCTACATACATAGTTCCTACATTATATTTTTAGGGAATAATGACAAGAAAAAAGATGTATGTGTTCTGTATGTGTTCAGTACAGATAAAATTTGTTTTCACATATTTTAGTCTGCATTTGATTGAATCCATGGATACAGAACCTGCAGATATATTACAGTTAAGATGCCAGTGCCAATGGTATATGAGGATGAAAACTTGCTAGCTATGGCTCAGAAAAGGAGGTGAGGCACTGGTGATGGTGATATAGAAAATTGTAGGTTGGGAATGTGGTTCAGTGGTAGAGCTCTTGCCTAGTATGTGTAAAGCCCTGGATTCAATCTCTGATAACATGTGCACGCACATACACACAGATACATACATACACAAAATGCCTATTTGTCATCAAGGATGAGACATTAAGCTGGCATCTGAAAAAAGCAAGTTTAGCATTCAGGGAGAGGTTAGGACTAGTTATATAAATTTGGGTGTCCAACCAGGGGACTAGATGAGATATTTAGGACTGCTATAACCTACCACCTATTTTTAGAAATAAAGTATTATTGGAACGTAGCCATAGCTATTTAGTTACATATTGTCTGTGGAAGATGAGTAGTTGAGGCCCACAGAACCTAAAATTTTTATTGTTTGGCCCTTTACAGAAAAAAATGTATTGGCCCCTCCCCTAGGAAATGGGTATTAAAGGAGGCCAGAAGAGACAGAGATGATGGAGGCCCTTTATTTAGAGAAGGAAGAAGAGGCAGCATGTAGATTTTGGTCACACAGACCTGGAGAGAGTGGTGCTATGAAACAAATGAGGAAAATGTTTCAGGAAGGAACAGTAGATACAGGTGGACTGAACTGAGCTTCACCCACAGGATATGGCAGGAAGGAAATTCTTGGTGACCTTGTGTCAAGGGGATAAGGTTTCAATGGTATTGAGGATGAAACTTGCTAAGTATGGCTCAGAACAGGAGGTGAGCCACTGGTGATGGTGAGATAACAAGAGATTTTGTTAAGAAATGAACTAGAGATGGGTTTAGAAGCTAGAAGGGTGTGTGGGGTATGATGAGTCAATTTTAAGATGAGAATGATGTGGCTCAGAGGTAGAGCATGCAACTAGCATGCGTGAGGCATTGAGTTCAATCCACAGCACCACATAAAGTAAAATAAAGACATTGTGTCCACCTATAACTAAAAAGTAAATATTAAAACAAAAGATGAGAATGAGTCCATAGAAAGAAAAAATATTGAGGTAGAAAAAAGGATTATTATGGAAATTGGGGAGGAGTAGGATCCAGTTCATAAGGAAGAATTAAGAGAATTATAAATACGATATGGATACAGGTGAGTTGATGCGACAAAGGAATGGTTATTTCTTTTTTTCAGTATTTTTTTTAGTTGTAGATGGACACAATAACTTTATTTTTATTTTTATGTGATGCTGAGGATCAAACCCAGTGCCTTCCACATGCAAGGTGAGCACTCTATCACTATGCCACAGCCCCAACTCATTCTTGTTTTTTTTTTTTTTTTATTGGATACAATACCTTTATTTTTATTTATTTTTTTGTGGTGCTGAGGATTGAACCAAGTGCCTCACTTGTGCTAAGGAAATGCTCTACCACTGAGCTACTACACCCCAGCCCTGTTTTTATTAGAGGAGTAAGAGAAATCATCAGCCAAGAATTGGAAGGGTGTTTGAATTGGAAGAATTGGAAAGTGTGTTTGAAGTAAAAAGGTGTTAAATATATTTTTAATATTTGAAAGAATGATCAAGGCTCGTAGTCGGAGAAAATGCCCCTTTATTGAGGAACAGCTCTGCATATTTATAGAGCCGGGAGTGGTTTGACAGTTATGACAGTTTAAAGGTTGAAGGGTTTGACAGTTGGCATGGGGTGCTTTCTGATTGGTGGGTAAAGATCATGTGAGCCACCAGGGCTAGTCTGATTGGTGGGTAAGGATCATGTGAGCCAGCAGGGCTCACCATTGGACAGCTCTTCTTGGGGGATGGGGAAGTTAGTCTTTGGAGCCAGGGTGATCCCAACAATATTGATATTCGATTTACCTACACTTCAATGGCTTGTGTACCTTTTGTGTTCTGAGGACCACCAATGAAAAGTAATAATAGTTAACAGAGCACTTAATCTACATAGCTCAGGCAGTCCTCATAACGGCTATAAGAAAAGTACTATGAACTAAGCAGGGTTGTTACCCACTATAATTCCAGAGATTACAGGAACGGTGACACAGGCTAGCAATTCCAATTAATTGAGAGGTTAAGGCAAAAGGATCACAAGTTTGAGGCCAGCCTTGGCAACTTAGTAAGACCCTGTCTCAGAATAAAAAATTTTGAAGTAGTAGGGTAGCTCAGTGGTAGTACTCCTGCGTTCAATCCCCATCACACACACACAAAAAAAAGTATTATTATATTGTTATTTTATAGAATAAAGAAACAAGAACACATAGAAGTGATATACCTTACATAAGGTAAAGTAATAGAGATGGAATTCAGACTCAGTATGCCTCAAGAATCTTTACTCTTTCTTTTTGCTCGGGGGATTGAATCCAGAGGCACTTCACCACTGAGCAACATCCCCAGCCCTTTTTTATTTTTTCGTTTTGAGACAGAGTTTCACTGAGTTGCTTAGGGCCTCACTAAGTTGCTGAGGCTGCCTCCTGAATTGCTGGAATTACATTGTGCCCCATTGTACCTGGGAAGAATCTTTACTCTTAACAAATGAATATGCCTTCAACACATGTTTATTTAATGGCTCCTTTGTCCAGTACATATGGATTTTTTTAAAGGAAGAAGAGTTTAAACTTTTAAATCAAGATTTCAGGGGCTGGGATGTGGCTCAAGCGGTAGCGCGCTTGCCTGGCAAGCGTGCGGCCTGGGTTCGATCCTCAGCACCACATACAAAGATGTTGTGTCCGCCAATAACTAAAAAATAAATATTAAAAAAAAATTCTTTCTCTCTCTCTCTCTCCCTCTCTCTTTAAAAAAAAAAAAAAAGATTTCAGTCAAAAATGGGAATATGGGGGCTGAGGTTGTGGCTTAGTGGTAGAGCGCTCACCTAGCATGTACGAGGCCCTGGGTTTGATCCTCAGCACCACATAAAATAAATAAATAAAATAAAGGTATTGTGTCCAACTACAACTAAAAAATATAATTATTTAAAAAATGGGAATCAGAATATGTGACCTTTATGAATAATTGAAAGAGTGACTGATCATATACTTAAATGAAAGTCAGGATGGTAATGTGGACACTGGATACTCTTGGGAAAAATCTGAAAGAGGTACAGTGACAAAAGTGATGAAGAAGGAGAGAAGGAGAGAAAGAAAAGTAAAATCAGGAATACAGGGTCTTGGGGGCCGAAGTCCAGAAGAGGATCTTACTCCATTTAGCAAACTGGCAATTAGATACAGTTCAATGGGCAGAGGTCATATTGTTAGGAGCGTGCATTTTTTTCTTTATCAAAAATAAAGGAAATAGAAATTTTATTTCTTTTTTAATGGGTTTTAAGGAATCAGAGAAACACATATAAGAGTGTGTACAGTTTTACATCATTTCACTACATTTACATTTTTTTAGTTTTAAGTCTGTACGGTGAGGGCTGGGATGTGGCTCAGTAGTGGAGCGCTCACCTGGCAGGCATGGGGCACTGGGTTCGATCCTCAGCACCACACAAAGATAAAATAAAGAGATTGTTTCCACCTCAAACTAAAAAATAAATTTAAAAAATATGTATGGTGAGATTTGGTTGATATTTGACTTTTTTCTTTTATTAGAAATGCTCCTGTGATGCACTTAAACGGACAGCTCCTGTTTGATTAGAAGTTATTAAGTGTAGTTTTTGTAGATTTTCAACATTATCATGATGCTGGAATTGAGAGTAAAGGATGTGACTTACAACCAGTAGGGTCAACCTTTCTGAGATGTTTGACCTAAGACTGAAAAATAGGGAGGAGTCAGCCTTTCATAGAGCCCAGGATGGATTTTTTAGGAGATGAAATAGCTTGTGGAAAGCTGCATGAGATAAGAAAAGACTGTAGTGTGATCTGGGAGCACAGTCCTATATGGGAGTTGAAGAGGATGTTATCTTTGAAAGGCCTTATTATATTCAATGGTAAAATGTTTGAAATTTATTCTGAAAGAAAGAGAAAACTATTAAAATTGTTAAACGGAGATTCTCAAACTTTTATTTATATCAGAATCATCTAGTAGAGTTTTAAAAATTCAGATAGCTGAGCATGGTAGCACATGCCTGTAATCCCAGCAATTTGGGAAACTGAAGCATAAGAATCCTAAGTTCAAAGCCAGTCTTGGTAACTTAGTGAGACCCTTTCTTGAAATAAAAAATAAAAATGTCTGAAGGGATAGCTCAGTGGTAAAGTGCCCATGGGTTCAATCCCCAGTACTAAGCAAACAAAAAAAATTCAAAAAAATTCAAAATCTCGAATAGATTTGATTCACAGCTTGGAGTGATACCAGAATAACAGGATTTGTAATAAGTTTCTCAGATGATTCTGATCCACACAAAAATTACAGAACCATTATATAAACTATTTGCCACATCACCACAATTGTATATTATCTTTCATTCTTCAAACTCATATGGTCTGCTTTCAAATTACAGAACTCTATTGTAAAGTTTTCAAGCCATTTACTTCTAATGAGAATTATTTTCACTTTTGTCTACTATTTTGAAGATGGAAGCTTTTATGTTTTTCTGACTACAGGAAAAATAGTTTTTGTGTTCTTTTTTGTTTTTCTTTTAGGATTGTTCTCCAGATACAAGACCAAGAAATTACCTTCAGGAAAGGATGCTGATGAAGCTAGTTCGTCCAAATCGGAGACAACAGAAAGAAGAAAAACTGTTGGACTTAAGGGAACCACTTCGAGAAATGAGTCGCAGAACAAAAGTGAGTCTAAGGGTCAACAGGGACCCCAAGAAAAGAATTTCAGGCAAGTGAAAAGCACTTATAAGAAAAGGCCAACAGAGAGAAAGCAGACATCTTCGAGTCAGAGAACATCTAGTGGTGGGAACGCTAGTGAAGATAGGGAACGTGGGAAAAACCTTAGTTCTGCCTCTAACTCGGGTCAAAGTGAAAAAAATACTCCTGAGGAAAAGCATGATTGTCCAGAATGTGGGGAAACTTTGAGTAGTGTCTCTCAACTTAATCTACATCAGAAAACTCATAGTGGTGAAAAAGTCTATAAATGTAAACAGTGTGGGATGTACTTTGGTCATCACTATCAGCTTATTTTGCATCAGAAATTTCACAGTGGTGAGAAACCCTATGAATGTCAAGAATGTGGTGAGACCTTTACTCTTTTCTCACAATTCAGTCGACATCAGAAATTTCATACTGGTGAAAAACCCTATAGATGTAAGAAATGCAAGAAAAGATTTAGTAGTAGTTCAGAGCTTTCTGAGCATGAGAAAGAGCATACTGGTAAGAGGTGTTTTGAATGTAAGGATTGTGGAAAGTTTTTCAGACTTAATTTCTACCTTACAGAACATCAGAAAACCCACACAGGGGGGAAATCCTATAAATGTAAGGAATGTGGGAAAGCTTTTACTGTAATTGGACAGCTTACCCGCCATCAGAAAATTCATACGAGTGCAAAACCCTATGAATGTAAGGAATGTGGGAAGTCTTTTAGACTCAGTTTATATCTCACTGAACACAAAAAAATACATACAGGCAAGAAACCTCACGAATGTAAGCATTGTGGGAAAAGCTTTAATGTCCGTGGACAGCTTACTCGGCATGAGACAATTCACAGTGGTGTAAAACCCTTTGAATGTGAGGTGTGTGGGAAGGCTTTTGGTTATAATGGTGACCTTCGAGTGCACCACAGAATTCATACCGGTGAGAAACCACATAAATGTAAGGACTGCGGGAAGGCCTTTATGCTTCGTTCAGCCCTTACTGAACATCAGAGAATTCATTCTGGCGTAAAGCCCTACGAATGTAAGGAATGTGGGAAGACATTTAGAGGGCGCTCTCAAGTGAGCCTGCATAAGAAATTTCATACTGACCTGAAACCCTACAAATGTGCAAAATGCGGGAAGACCTTTAGATTTGGTTTCTACCTGAGTGAACATGAGAGAATTCATACTGGGGAAAAGCCCTATAAATGTAAAGAATGTGGAAAGGCTTTTATTCGTAGAGGAAATCTTAAAGAACATCTGAAAACTCATTCAGGTGTAAAGCCCTACGAATGTAAAGAATGTGGAAAGTCCTTCAGTTGGCGTGGTCAGTACACTCAACACCTGAAAATTCACTCAGGTGTAAAACCCTTCAAATGTAAGGAATGTGACAAGGCCTTTAGTCGCAGTGGAGACCTTAGAATCCATCAAAGGATTCATACTGGTGAGAAACCTTATGGGTGTAAAGAATGTGGAAAGTCTTTTAGACTTAATTCACACCTTATTGAACATCAGCGAATTCATACTGGTGAGAAACCCTATGAGTGTAAGGTGTGTAAGAAGGCCTTTAGACAGCGATCACATCTTTATCAGCATCAGAGAACCCATAATGTAACTTAATATAATACTGCCTTTCCATTTGCATGCTCTGGTTATTAGAATATCAAAAACAGACAGAAACTCTGTCAGTGTGCCAATCTTTCTTTAGATGTGTTAACTTAATAATTGTGTAAGAACCTTTTAATGCCTCTCAGTCCTTGTTGAATTTAAAGGAATTCATACTAGAAAATAAACCTGTCGATGTAAAAATTGTGGAAAAGTGTTGTTAGCAATGATATACTATCATCATTGCCTTTCCACTACTCTGATACCTGTGTGATATCAAGCAAAACATGTAGGTCTTGTTGCCTCAGTTGTAAAATGATACCTACCTAAAAGTGTGGCTAGTGGTGTATACATCATCAATAATGGTTATACAGTATACTGTAACGTGTGATACTGTGAAAACTGTCTGGCCCCAAACTGTTTTTGAAATATTGGATATTATTATTTTCATTATTATCAGCATTACTATTAGTGAATTTAAAATAGAAAGATAAAAGTGGAGGAAATAACATAGAAAGACCATTCAACACTTGCTATGTTTTGGGCAGATCATCTTTGATAAAAATCTGTTATGGACTAAATGTTTAGAATCCATATAGGATATGCAATCCCAACCAGATGGTGTTTGGAGGAGGGGCCTCTGTGGTTATTAGGTCATGAGGGTACAGTCTTCACAAATAGGAGTATTTCCATGATAAGAACATCCTCCAAACCTAGATAGTTCTCTTTCATCTTCTTTCAACCACAGGAAGATACAAGTGAGGAATCAGCAACACAGAAGAGGGCCCTCACCAAAATCCAAACATGCTGGCACTCTAAGCTTATACTTCCAGCATCCAAAACTTATTTATAAGACACTAAGTCCATGGTATTTCATTATAGCAGCCCAAACTAACTGGGAAAATCTATTAGAACACAGAACATGAGAAAGTTTGAATTCAAACCATAGTAAGTTCTACCAGAAAATTAAAGCTCGAAGGGAACTAAGGATTCATAACTGCTGAAATATCAAGGAGAGATGTGATAGAATTTCCTATAATAATGTAGAACTTATAAGTATTCCCCAATTCTATTATGAAAATTTTCAGACAGAAGAAAAATACATTCTGATACCCATTTAGCCCTCTGGCTAGATTTGAAAATCTGTACTTTTTGCCTATTTGCTATTTTTTTCAGAAATACACATATACATCTGTATACACACACACACACACACACACACACACACACACACACATAAACATTTTATTTATTTATTATCTATTTGCATGCTCTGGTTATTAGAATATCAAAAACAGACAGAAACTCTGTCAGTGTGCCAATCTTGAACCCAGGGGCACTTTACCCCTGAGCTATATCCCTAACCCTTTTTATTTTTTTTTTAATTTTGAGATGGAGTCTCACTAAATTTCTTGGGACTATCTGTGAAATTGTGTGATGGGATATAGCACATCTCTACAACAGAATTAACAAGTGATTATACAAATTATTCAAACAGTCATATTGAAATAAAAACTTAAAGGGATTTTTATAGCTGGAAAGATGGAGTAGATGTCCTTTTGTTCCCCCTCTTCCTCCTACTACATTCATCTCAAACCCCTAGGTAGTATACATCAAACAAACACAAAATTGGAAATATTGAGAGAAGAAAACAAACTTGCTAGGGGACACAAAACCCAAGGGATGACGTGGTGGCATTCCATGGGATTTATACCCCAGTCTTGGAACTAAAGACTGACAGCAATACTGAAATGCCAATAGGCAGAGATAGGGTAGGGAGAGCCTCAGGAAAAGTCTACTTTCTAGCCGAATAAACAGGAAGGGACAGTGGAGCAAGAGTGGAAGCATTGAGACAATAACCCCTCCAGCCAAAAAAAAAATCTGCAGCTTGGTTTTTGTATATATCAGTTGTTTGCTCCTTGTCATCTGAAGAGTATTCCATTGTATGAATGTGACATGGTTCATCCATTTACTCACTGAATAACATCAGAGCTGTTTCCAATTTGGGGCTATTACAAATAAAGCTACTATAAAATATTCATATGCAGATTTCTATGTGAACATAGTTTTCATATCTCTAGGAAGGATGCCCAGTGATGTAATTTCTTGATATTATGGTATCTGCATGTTTATGTTTTTAAGAAACTACCAAACAGTTTTCCAGATTGGTAGTGCCAATTGGTCATCCTCACCAGCAACATGTGATAGTTTGTCCATCCTCCTTCCTTGGCTTTGTCACTGTGTTTTTGTTGTGGTCATCTGGATAAGTCTGTAGTAATATTTCATTGTCATTTTAATTTGCATTTGCCTAATAACTAATGATGTTTAATATCTTCTTGTGCTTCTTTGCCATCTATATATCCTCTTTAAAAAATCTCGTGATATCTTACATTTCCTGTCCTTTTCCTAAATGTATGAATTGATTGTTTACTTTTTTTTAGAACTTATTTACATATTCTAGAAATTAGTCCCTTAGTTAGATGTGTGTTTTGCAAATATACATATATATATTTCCCAATCTGTAGTTGTAGCTTCATTCTCTTCACAATATTCTTAAAAGAGTTATTTTTATTTTAAAAAATTTGTGGATCTACCACCACTCCTGACATGGAAATCCAAATGAAGAGCCTAGATTTCTACATTTGCAATCTATAACAGAGTGTCCAAATGTCCCGCCAGGTAGGAAGAAAAAAAAAAGCCTGTTGTGAATCCAGGGCCTTTCATCTCCATCAGGCAGTGAACAGTCCTCTTTGCCCAGGAAAGGATAAAGAGGAAGATACTTTGGGGAATAAGAACTTTTAAAAGCTCCCAAATATTCCTAGGAATTTAAAAGGCCACATGAATAAGCAGGACTGAGCAAATATTTAGGAAAAAAATTGGGGTGGCCATAAGCTCTTACCTTTCTGTCAGACCTTCAGGTTCTGTACAAGCAGAAAGTAAAGGCTAAGTCAGAATTGTAAACTGGTTGAGGATTGAAGATGTGCCCTAACACACAGCCTATCTGCAAAGACTGGGAGTTTTTGTTTTATTCCAGGCATTTAAGTTAGCCCTAGCTGGGCACCGAATTAATGGAACAGAGACTTCAGTGTTCACACACGACAAAAAATACAGACTGTAAAAATTAATTCAGAAAAGTCACTTAAAGTACAACCAGCAACACCAACAAAACTTACAGGATGGCAGACTCTTAATTTCTAGGATTGCCACATGATAATATTCAATGTCCAATTTTATGTGCATGCGTGCACACACACACACACACATGCACAAGTTAGCAGGCAAGCAAACCAGAAGCATATGTGAAAATCAATAGGAAATGAGAAAACACAGTAATTAGACAAAAGGTCTTTAAATTTTTTTTTTAGTTATAGATGAACACAATAGTGTATTTTTATTTATTTTTTATGTGGTGCTGAGGATCAAATCCAGTGCCTCACATGTGCTAGGGAAGTGCTTTACCACTGAGCTACAATCCTAGCCTCTAGACATAAGTTTAAAATCAGCTGTCTTAAATGTGTTCAGTGAGCTCAAAGAAACCACATATGAAAAACTAAAGAAGATTGAGATCAATGACTCTGCAAATAGAGAATATCGATAAAGAAATGGAAAATTTTAAAAGGAACTGAATAGTTTAGACTTGAAAAGTATAATAACCAAAATGAAAAATTCTCTGGAGGGATTCAACAGCAGATCTGAGCAGAGAGAAGAAAAAAAATTAGCAAATTGAAGATAGGGCAACTGAAATTATCTAGTCTTAGAAGCACGAAAAAAAGTAAAAGAAAAAAAACCAGATCTTCAGAGACCTATTGAATATCATCAAACCTAAGAATGAACACAAACATATGCATTTGTTTTATGGATAGATAAAGGGTATCCAGAAGTTTCTCATATAGAAAAAGGGACAGAAAGAATATCTGAAGAACTAATGATTGAAAAGTTCCAAAAATTTGATGAAAAACAAGACATATAGGTTGCCCAAGCAGCTTAACAGATCCCAAATAGGATAAGTTCAAGTGATCTAAACTGAGACACACAATTCAGCTCTTGGAAAAGAATCTTTAAGTTTGTTTGTTTTGATGCTGGGCATTGAACTCAAGGCCTCATACATGGTAAACATGTGCTGTACCACTGAGCTACATCCCTGGCTTCAACAGCTTAGCAAGGCCCTAAGCAACTCAGTACAATCCTTTTTCAAAGTAAAAAATGAAAAGGTCTGGGATGTGGCTTAGTGTTAAGCACCGCTGGGTTCAATCCCCAGTACCAAGAAAGAAAAGAAAAATATACATCTAACACAATAAGGACACAATAATGGAGGAATTATGGAACAAAAACAGTAAGGCATGGAAAACAAATAGCAAAAGGATAGAAATATGTTCATCATCAGAAATTACATTAAATGGGAATGGATTAAGCTTTCTGATTAAAAGGAAGAAAGTAGCAGAATGGATTTTAAAACAAGTTTTTAAAATGATTGAACTCTATGCCATCTACAAGAAACTCTCTTTAAATCCAAAGATACAAATTGAAAACAAAAGGATATAAAAAGATATTTTATAAAAGAGTAGCTAAAAGAGTTGGGGTAGCTATGCAAATATCAAACAAAATAGACCTTCAGTCAATCATTATTTCTAGAGACAAAGAACATTACTTAAGGATTAAAGGGTCAACCCATGGAGAACAAATAACAGTTATAAACCTATACACTTAGCAATGGAGTCTCAAAGTACATGAAACAAATACTAGCAGAATTGAAGGCAAAATAGACAGCCCAACAGTAACAGGAATCTTCAATACTCCACTTTTACCAATGGATAGAACAACTAGACAGAAACCCAGTAAGGAAATAGAGAACTTGAACAATACTACAAACCAGACCTAACAGACATCTGTGGAATGTTCCACCCAACAACAATAGAATGTACATTCTTCTCAAGTACACATGGAATGCTCTCCAAGGATAGATGATGTTAGGTCACAAAACAAGTCTCAATAAAAAAACTATAAGTCATATAAACATTTGGATACTACTCGGCATTAAACAGAAATGTCCTGTTGATACACACAGCAACTACTTAAATCTCAAGACCATATGTTGAAAGACAATTTCAAAAGATCACACACTGGCCAATTCCACTTATGTAACATTCCTGAAATGACAAAACTATAGAGAGGTGGAACACATTAGTGGTTA